TACACACATCTCCTGCGAAAGTGAGAAGAACAGATGAAATTACGGGTTATCGATAAAAAATGGCGAAATGATGCGGAGATCCTCTAGAACAGCGGTCGGCGATGTGTTAAAGGTGCGGTCCGCGATGAGGTATAGAAGATGAAAATATGGCGTCGGGAGGGTAGTGTGGTCCGCGACGAACAACCTTGTACCGGTTTCGCGGCAAAAAATTGTAAGGGAGGGGCGCTATAGCGCAATATAGGTTCAGTGACGCCTCCTTTTTTCCAGTGACTCCGCCTCCAGATTCCGCCTTCAAGGCCCGCTTTTCAGTGAAACACGTGTCGTAGAGTTCTTATAGGGGAAATAGTTGTGCGGATGAGGGCGTAGGGTTGGAGATGGAGCCCAGTGGCACGTACAAAGTGGGACCGATATGGGGTTGTATTTGGAGCAGTTAGCGTATTTTTTCCTCTGCTTTTTTGTTCACTATCGAGTTACTCAGCACCTAGCGGCAGAGGATTGACGGATTGGTGCTAGTATCTACCTTCAAGTACATCACGCATGGCACCTCTTAGTAATGTTGTAGAAGCATTCGATGACATTTTCCAGCTATGTAATGACTCGCGAAGGGCATCCGTTGTTCACACCCGTCTTGCCCTTTGAAAGAAGCCTAATTGCTTGGATGAATTTTGAAAGGACAAGCGATAAACCCTGGCTTGATCCAATGCTCGAAAGTACAACACGACACGTCCATATGGCACACTACCTCTGCACTCTATGTGTTCAGTTGATTCCAATAAATACAGCTTCATCTGGCCGCTCATTGATGTTTTTTTTGTTCTAGCTACGGTGATGATCTACTTGCATGTTCGCCGACTGGTGTACAATCACGATTGGACGTGCTGGTGACGTGTGGTGTACCAGCTGGGAGAACGTGCAGACGAGTTGCCCGGAGGTGTCCAGCCATATTGTTCGCTCGAAATCCTGAAGAAATGTCCAAGGTTGCTGAGGCTTTGGGTGGATTCTTCTCGAGGAACGAGGTATTAATATTTCGAATGAGCGCGAAGACTTTTGGTTGCTATGTAAAGCCTAGCAAAAATAAGGCGTATAATGGTTGCTACAATGTTGCTGATTTTCCTTTAGGTGACCGCTATCATCCAGGCGACACCTGAGGTGTTGCTGAAAAATATTGAAGAACTGGAGGAGAAGTATGAATACATTTTCTTCCAGGTGTGTGTTTTTTTTCTGTGACTGCATCCACTAGAGTAGGTGAAACACTGGCTGAACCATTTCGGAGTGCGCCATGTTTCCGACTTCTTCTCAGAAGAAGTGGAGTCATTTGGATACATATTAACCTATTAAAGTTGCAGGGCGAGATCTCATTCAAACCCGAGTACAGGGGGGGGGCAAAAAAAGTCACTTTGCTTCATTGACTTTCGAGGCGCTATAAGTTACACTTTATAAATTCTGATCGGACATTTCTACCACCATATTAAAGAGCATATTAAATACTATTATGACACTCCGCCAGCCTTCTGGACGAGCGCCATCGAGAGATTCTGGCACGCGACCGCGATGTGGTGCCTGAGATCAGCGAGATAGTCGATTTCTCCGCCACCGTAGACCACCCTATTGAACTCCGCCCGAACCGGGTAATTGAAGGGATTCAGGTCAGGTGACCTACTTGGATATTCCATCTTCTTTAGGTACTCAGCCCCCTTCCATTCCAGGTAGGCGAGAGTTTCTCCAACGCCCTTCGATTCCACGTGGTGGCACCCAATGCTGTAGCAGTACAAAGTTTCCAAGAAGGTACGGGCGACGACATGTGGGAAGATATTCTTCTTGAGTTGGTCGATGTAACCGCCAGCGCTCAGCTTCAGCCCGGGGTCCACGAAGAAAATATTGGTCTTTCCATTCCAGGTGCGTCCGGTCCATACCATCAACCCGCGCCTTGGCGACTGCCGTGAAGATGATGTCCTAGACCGTAGCGACGTTGTCGGAGCTGCTCGATGTTGGACTCGGTCGAAGTGACTTTTTTTGGCCCCCCCCCCCCTGTAGAACTACAGGCTGATGGCGATGAGCCCTATGCTAGACGCAGCACATAGCTACAGCCATGTTCGTTGCGGTGAGGCTGGGTTGGCGTGATGCCAGCCTTCTTTTCTGCAAGGACAAGACTGCATCGTATGGCTCCTATCAGTCTTTTTCATCCAGTTTTATCGTCCACCCGCTTCAACAGTTGGTGGAGAAGGTGCTGGCGGCGCGCCCAGTCAAGTCTCACTGACACGTCCCAGCATCAGCAGCGAACAAGACTGTATGTGAAAGACTTGTACTTGCTAGCTTCTGCATGTAGAGCAACTATTTCTCGTGTTGATGTGAATTATTGGCTGAGCGTTCTGAATGGGGTGGTGGGTAGGAATCGCCGTTGTCACACCAGTGACTTGCGTATAGAACCCGGTCCGGAACACCTGCGCTTTTCGAATGGTTTTGTAATACTCGATATAGCGAGTACGTGGCTCCATCCAAATGCATTGGTCAGCTGGGAGCACTGTGACCCTTCGCGATGATTTAGTGGCTTGAATAGAACCCACAGTAATAGAATTATTTCAGATGTGTATTGAAGGCGAACAGTTCAAAGATTGTATGAATTGGGCAGTATTGAGTTTGGAAGAAATAATGACGCGACACGAATTCCTTCTGAAAACCGGCCGCTATGTGACACCGGATCCGAAGCATCCACAGAAAGCTATGGTGAATAGATTTGGAAACTTTAATCGAGGGAGATGGCAGTGAAGGCAGTTGTTTGCTCAGATTATACCGGCTTAACCCATCTGGATATGAATTTCTTGCAGATAAAAGGTGGTGCGCCCAACTCATAAAAGTAACGATTCGCTTTTTCAGGAAAACGCTAGGTTAAATCAAATACTGGATTCGAGTGACGACAATTTTGCAGTTCAGGTACATGTTTGCGCAATATTTGGTCTTTCTTGGCTATAGAGTAGATTGTAAAGCTGGAGCAGCAGCTCAAAATTCTTCTTCAGCAATCAATTCTCATTCGAACCCCTCTCTTACCATTAGCGACCAGAAAGACCA